GAGAACGGTCTACTAAAATTGTTGCAAAATAAAGTTGTTCTTGGTGCGATTCAGTATCTGACAAAGGCGAGATAAAACTAGGCCTAAGACGAATTGTCCGTGGCGTGGCGTTAGAGGACGCTTGGAGCTCGTGAATTCGTTTGAAAAACACAAAACCAGTTTTTATGTGTTTCCACAAAAAATGTAAGAGGTAAAGACTGGCCATGACGGTCAGTAACGCTACGTTCTTCGATGATAACTTCTTCGGGTCGAGCGACGACGCCATTCGTAGTAGACGTGGTAGACGGAGTTGGGCTTTGCTGCTTCTTCAGTTGCGACGAGGACGTGGCCGAAAAGCGTTAGCCGAGTGACCCTTGTAATGCGAATACGCCCGTTTGCCATGTGCTTTCGGCGGTTAGCGAAGACTAGCAGCTCGTCTACTGTCGCAAAGTCCCGATTAGTGATGTTAACCGGACGTCGGCTCTGCGCTGATACTGCGCTTCTTCGGACGTTGTGGTAGAAGACGTACCAGTAGGGCATCTAAAGAACATAAGTCTCATAAGCTCCTAGCCGAGACTGAGGTGTCCACGCAACACAAAAAATTGGAAAAGCGACCGTGTCTAGCATACAGTGTCCGACATCAACATGAAGGTTATCTCGAAAAAAGCAGATGGATCCTGCAAAGCACGGACTCCCCATTTCGAATCTGTCCGTTCCAGCGATCTGAATTAGATTGGTTTGTGCTATCACGGAGGTGTCCCCGACAGGCCTGTTTCAGCAAAGGCGATAAAAAAATTAGGGCCAAGCCGGGGATCGAACCGATAGACCCCACGCAGCGGCCGTAGCTGGTAGATCGAACTGGTAGGCGAAAACCCTCAACTGGTAGGCAAGATCAAAATTCCGCATTTCCGCCTCTCGAGCCGGGATTTACCACAAGATCCTACAAATGTGCGTCGGTTGAGGCTCATATGTGAATTGTTCGCATTGATAGGCGATCTTGCTGTTTGGGAAAATTATACGGTTCTAGCAATTCCTAGTCATAAAAATCACATGAATGATGCGAGAGGTTCAAACCTCGGTGGCAGGCTACTCACTCGAACTGGTAGGCGGACCTGTTCGGTGGGAATTAAGCGTTTCTACATCATGAAAGGCTCGTGAATGATGGGAGAGGTTCAAACCGCGGTCATAGGCCACTCATTCGAACTGGTAGTCGGAGCTGGGCAATGCTCATTTGTATGGACCTCTCGCACCCTAAGCGAGAATCATACCACTAGACCACTTGGCCGCGGGTACGATGGTCATAGTTTCGGTCTTTCGCCGCTTAAGCTTGCGAACCTTATGTCTTGAAGCCAAAAAGACATTTTGTCTTTGGCAATCCGTGAGTGGGTCCACACAACACTCACTTAATTGTGGCCCATTCCCGTTTTACCTGCTCGTTCCGGGGTAGCGCCCCGTACAAGTAAGAAAAATATCGACCTACTAGCGCAGGACGGTCTTCACTACGCAACGTCAACGAACAAAAACCGTACGTCGCCCGGACTCACAGGCGTGACGCGTGCAGACAGACGTACTTTCCGGCAAAGCGGTGAGTAAGCGCACTTTTCCAGTACACTTCCTGTGTAGGTCGCTAACGAACACAGCACGCTTCTCGGGTGTCTGCGAAAGCCACTTACCGAGTGACAAAGTGTACCACGCCAGTGCCGGTCGGCGACAAAACAACTATCGTACCCTCAGAGCATGGCCTTGAGCGAACAAGATGTGACCGTTGACGATGGACGTTTGTATTTCCGACTGCGCCATCGACCGCGCTCCTGGCTGTTGGCTTTTCGGAGAAGTTGGACGGTCAGATTTCCCAATCGTGTTCACTCAAGGACGCGTAGGAATTTTGAAAGTAAGTAGAACTCTTAAGTCATTCTAGAAAAAAGTGCGCGTGCAAGCCCTTGCCAGGGCAAACGTGAGTATCCTGGGGCTACCATTTAGACGATGCAGACGAAAACGAACAACGACAAGAAAAAAGACGAGCCAAGAGACTGATATGATATAAATCCCTTGGGTACTACGACGTCTGCCTTTTTTTCCGCTGTGTTTCTGTGCTCTGGCTAAGCTGAATGACTTCCTACCACGGCTAGGCGGCATTTTGTTATTAACTCTCCTTGACCTATTTGTAAGTCCGATCTCATAGACCCCGAGACGTACGACGCACATTTCGCTATTTAGAGCTGCCCTAGAACGTGCCAGAAAAATATCTTCTTGCACATTCCAGCCATGCAGCGTATTTGTCACTCACGTACACTGCATATCGCAAACTGAATGCAACTTTGTACTTCGATCTGTTGGGCCGGAAGAACCAACACATAGATCACATTGTTTGCGTACATAGCCACTCAATTATAGCTTGGTCTTAGGATATGTTTGCTGGCCGAAGAGGGCTGTCTAAAAAAAGTGCTTGTTAACGGGAGATTCCCCGGAGAATACCAATATCTACTACAGAAATTAGAATCTGCGTTTGCCATAAAGTTTTTTCGAGATCTGTGCAGTCATCAAGGGAAAACGCTAAAACCAACGCTTTCCCCAATAGTCCCCCCCCCCCCTCCTCGAGCCAAGAAGCGCGTTGGTTCGTTGTTTCCATCCGCCTTTTTGAGCCTACATCAGAGTATGTTGTTTCCACGTGCAAAAGCAAAAGCATTTAAGATTCCAGTTACACGACAGTTGTCGCATCGACAATACGCTGGCTGCGTTGCATTCGGAAACAGCGGAACACGACGTCGCGGTAGCAGCGCATGAAGAAGATCGTCGTCAGAGGGTTGAAGACGGCAATGCTCGAAAGTGCGGTCGTGAAGAAGGCCGACATAGGCCCAGGTACGATGGAGAGCATGCTGGTGACGAGGAAGAAGGAGACGGGAAGGCCGCTGGTCGCCAAAGGACAGATTGCCTAAATGTGTCAGTGACTTGGCTCGAAGAATGCTTTTTCGAATTTTATGCTTCAAAAATCTTACCATTGCCAGCAGGGCACGCTGGAACTCTTTGTGCATTTGGCGCGTCTTCTCGCTTAAAGTACTGCCGAACTGGCCAAAGTACCGGATTATCTTGACCTCGCAGATTGTCACCACGATGGCGCCGCCACTAGCAGAGATCAACATGCTGAGGATGAAAAACAGGTTCCTCTGAAAAGCTGTGTGGCGAAGCCTCGCAGGAGCGTAGCCAGCTCGATGGGGGAAGGACAGCGGGACACATTGAATCTACTATAAATGATACCTACATGATACCTGATATTTATCATGTAGGTAATAGGTATTACCTATCACGTTGCATAAAGCTTTAGCCCGCTGTAGGTGATCCCTGCGGGCTGGTCAGATAAACGTTTGGTCCGCATGTGCGCCGCACGCGCACCTTAGCGTTTTTTTTTACCATGTTAAATCAGAACGAATCTAAAGATGGCTCACATCACGACTACGGCCTTGAACCCTAGCGCCTTGAAGGGTCCCAGAGCTCCTAGCCGGGACTCCAATCGCGGAAAATGCGCCTACTCACCGTGTCGGATCCGTGGACTCGCGGTGGCGATCCCATGTCATAAGGCCAGCCGTTTCGACAAAGCATGCACAGCCCTTCTTCCTGGAACTGCTCTGGCGGGTGAAATGTCTGATAAATTCTGTAGAATATTATGCAGTTCCATAACATAGCGACGACGGCGACGAGATACGCTTTTCTTTTAGGTGATTCGCTGCTAAAATTTTGATTGATGACAACATCAATATTTCTTGACCACACCCTGGTGGGCGACAAACGAAGATGTAGCGGTAGGCAAACTGCACGGGAATCCATAGCAAGTTCAGGTTTAACACCACGAAATACGTCATTAGGACAAAAGTGTCGTACGAAGGAAGGTTGAGTGAATTATTTGACGCTATCACAAGGTAGCCATCGCCGGTAAAAGCCACCTTCAACGTTGGTATACGACCGTAGAGTGCTTACAACCTTACCGGTTTAGCAAGTAGCGATACGATGCCTAGCGTGAGGTCCAGGCTTGCATCGACGGCCAAGCACACTTGGTAGATCTTGCCATCGTAATTCGAGTGCTTTGCGATAAGGTACAAGAGGAACGCGTTAAAGACTATGGAGATCACGCTGAGCATGGTTTCGAGCACGTAGTGTGCTTCATCGACGTTTGGAATCATTGTAGCAAACACTAGCGAATGTGACCAACTTTGCTGCAGAAACGCACCTTGCCCTTCTGTATGTTTCGAACGACGTTAGGCAGCTAGAGTAACGTTTTTCGGAACTGGCGTTGCCCGTCTCAGGGCTGTTCAACTTCACCGAATCCCCTAGTGATTGGATTAGTGAGTGCATGTCTGCTGTTTGCTTTGCTGCAGTCTGTAGTTCTCGACCAGCACTTGTTTTCCGCACTTATCGGTGACAAACGAACGCGTCACTTCCTGTCAAGGACGCAAAAATGACACANCGGTCCTTTATCCTTCTACGCAGTCTTTCTAGAATCCCTAGACGTATGTATGCCAATGGCTAACGCTTAAAAGGACAGTTCAGCATGCTGAAGTGGAAGTTATGCAATAAATTGCTAAAAAAGTGGAGAATATTGCCGAAAAATATTTCACAAAAAGCCGATTCTGAGTCGAAACATTCTAGCAGTTAGTGCGGGAAACGTTCCTCGTTCGTAGCCTCGAGTCCAGCCACATCGGTAACATCAGCAACGCTTCGATGTTTCTTCCTTAACCGTCGGAATACTACGTCGCGGCAGCAGGGCATAAAGAAAATCGTCGTTATCGGATTGAAGACAGCAATGCTCGAAAGCGCAGTGGTAAAGAAAGCCGATACTGGTCCTGGGGCGAGCGAAAGGACGGTGGTGATGATGAAGAAGAATACCGGCAGTCCCGTGGTCATCAGCGGGCAGATAGCCTTAAAGCGTTTAGTGGAAGCGACAGGACGTCGATCAATTACCATGGCCAACAGTGCGCGATGGAACTGCTTATGCAATCGCCGAGTATTTGCACTTAGCGCATTGCCGTACTCTCGAAAGAATCGGAACATTTTGACCTCGCAGATCACGACGACAAAAGCGCCGCCTCCGGAAGAGATAAACCAAAGCGACAGCCAGACAATTAGGCGTACGTTCGTCTAAAAACCGGCGTAATCGTCACATGAATCATAGGTGCTTACAATGGTCACCCCGTGGCGCGTCGTTTTATGCCCCCTTTCAACAAGCGGTTTGTGCCCTCTTCCCCCCAAAAGCCTGTCCTTGTCACATGCCAGTCCGGCCTTAACTACCCACGTACCTAAGTACCTGTAACTTACAATGTAAGAGCCAAAGACCAGTGGCGGTGATTCAGTGTCGTACGGCCAATCATTCAGCTGAAGCACGTGCCATCCTTTTGGCTGAAAATCGTCCGGCGGACTGAACATGAGGTATGTGCCGCAGAATGCGACGCAGTTCCAGAGGACGCCAACAACAGCGACGGCGCAAGCTTTCGGAGGTAGCGAGTCGTTGCTGAAGGGTTCAGTTAAGATGGAGTCGCTTTGTGCATGAATAGAGTTAGAGTAAAACTGCATACGGGGATAAGCGACAAACGAAGATGTAGCGGTATGCAAACTGCATCGGAATCCATAGAACGTTCATGTGAAGCACCATGAAGTACGTCGCTAGGACGAAGGTATCGTACGAAGGAAGTTTCAGCGAATTGTTTGACACCATCTCAAGGTACCCGTCGCCAGAAAAGCCGACCTTGAACGTTAGTATATTACCGTACGCAATGCTTGAAATCTTACCGGTTTGGCAAGAAGTGATATGATGCCCAGCGCGAGATCCAGGCTTGCATCAACGGTCAGGCAGAATTGGTAGATCGTTCCGTCGTACGTCGAATGGTTCATGATCAGGTACAAGAGGAACGAGTTAAAGGCGATCGAAAACAGGCTAAGCACAGTTTCGACCACGTAGTGTACTTCGTCGACGTTTGGAATCATCGAAATCACTAGCGAGCACTAACGTCTTCTGTCACCTCTCTTACTAACGAAAAGCTGTTAGCCCTTCGGGTGTTCAACTGACGTTAGATAGCGTAGAGTACGTTGCTATGCTTTTACTGAAATCGTTGCGACCCCAGACAGTGCAAAATTGCCCCAAGAATCCCCTAGTGATTTGAAATGATTGCGTGTTTGAGTTCTGTTTACGCGCAAGGTGGCTGTAATTGTCGACCGAGATGAGCTTTTGTTTTGAAAGTCCGCCGCGCTCGTTCCCCGTTGGGATCTGGCCGACGCTGGATGAACTTTTGCACCGGA